TTTAACTTCTAAAGGGAAGCATCAGGAACCCCCCTATTCCGCAGAAACTCCTCCATGTTACTCAGAATCAGTTTCTGTGAGAGTGAGCTTGTGGTGAAGTGTCAACACGCTATCTCGAATTTTCAAGATGTCATCTTGAATTTTCAACTTAATATCTTGAATTCTCAACTTAATATCTTGAATTTTCAAGATAATAATAAGCCTTTTAGGGCCATGCGTTTTTTTAATTTTTTATTGAAATTTCAAGATACTAAGTTGAAATTTCAAGATGAATATGTTGAAATTTCAAGATTAGTAAGTTGAAATTTCAAGATAATGTGTTTTACCATGCGACATGAAAATATATTTGAAGTTAATTATCTTTAAATTTCAAGACCATGCGAATCATGTGGTAGCTCACCATTTGGGGAATGTCTCTTCGATAGGAAGGATGGCTAGTCCAGGCAGATGTGAAACTACAGATGCTACTCGCACCGATGAAGTGAATGTAAGTATCTCTTTCTAATAAATTTCAATGACAAGATACATGCCAAATACAGGTTTTCCTTTTGCGGTATTTGACATTAGAATAAGACTGTAGCCTTATCTTCTTTTTGCAGTTAGAGACGTTTTTGCAATTCATTTCCTAAGTACCGGTGCGTATCATAATTTAACAGATATATGTGAGTGTTTAGCCCAGGACGTATAAAGGCGGTATAGATCTTATTGTGTACGTCCCTTCTAAGCAAACCGGTTTGCCACTAACCCATGTTAAAGCATTTAGGAAACAACTCATCTATCTATGCCAAAATGGGCTTTGTTTTAAATAATACCGTCATGACAAATTGTATTTCTCATATCTTGAGCAGGCTTTTTTATGCCATCCAAGTGTGAAATATATTGAACCATTTGAACATATGTGACGTCTGACATACGTCTGGGAAAATAGAGCCAGACGAGGTGATTGTTATCGCATGGCCGACTTTGGTATCACTCTGGTAACAAAACATTCATGAATACAATCAATAATTAGCCTCGTATGCACAATGAGAAACGACGTCATCGAATCCAATTTGACCATTACAATTCAGGCTGTTTATATGGGTCACATCAACTTTCAGTGCTTAATCTAAATTGTCTTTTCAGATTGAACAAGCAGAGATGGCTTCTCAGAAGAAAACTTCTAAACGGAAGCAGAGTTTATTTGATCGTCTGCGCATCAAACTGAACCGACCATCGACAAGTGACGACCCAACAGATATAGGTCCACAAAGTCGAAATGCTGTCAAACTGACAAAACAGGTGGGGATTGGGCTTATGAAATTCGACGAAAAGAAAATGATGTATACTCAAGTCCGAACTAAATCAGGAGGTGGTACTCGGTATATATCGGTTGCTCAAGCTAAGAAGATATTCTTCCCAGAGGGACATTCAATAAAATTTGGACCCGAAACTGATTATGAGTTCAATGCCATGGACTATCAGTTTGTCATTCTGAATGAGGATGTCACTGTTCATGATATGTCTGATCTTACTCGACTGACCAACCTGAGGTTTTATTTGGCGATGAAGAAGGTACAAGATACCACCACCAAAGATCCTGTCCCTGGTCATTGTGTCCAGAGTACCCATTCAAGACCGCAAACTTGGGGAGAAGCTGATCAAGATCAACCAGGACAACAAGCGTTGGAACAAGGTCAACAACATCAGCCACCAGGTCAACAGCATCAGCCACCGTGCTGGAATTCTGAACCACAGAATCAGGGGGATCAGCAGGATCACAAGGCACAAGCTGCAGGAAACACAGATGATCACAGTGATGATATCGGTGAGTTACCAAATATCCTGCCTCTACATGCTGAGGTTGAACCATATTCAGTTGATATTGATCTTCTGGACAACTTCATTGCAGATCTTGAACACCAGACAGCACAAGCCAATGTCAGCCACCATACCATGCGTATACACAGAGGACATGTCTTCCAGGAACCTAAAGAAAAATTCAAAGAAAAAACGTTCAATCTAAATAAGGATATTTTCAATTTCCAAATGATTTTGCCAAATGGAGAAATGGAGGTTGCCAAAGACAATGGAGGAGTCATGCGAGATGCTTTAGTAGAGTTCTGGGATTCTTTCATTGAACAGTGTTGCCTGGGAAGAGCTTGTAAGGTGCCATTTATAAGGCATGATTATGACAGTGATGACTGGCAGGCAATTGCTGCCATTCTCTATTTCGGATGGAAGTGGTAGAACTACTTCCCGTGAGCATAGCAAAGTCTTTTATGGCGTGTTCCATTTATGGCATGGATATATTTTCTACAACAAAAGAATCCCTTATACCTGAATACCTTTCCTTCCTTCCATGTTCAGAGGCTGACATACTCAAGGCATCCTTGGAAGGCCATTTTGAGGAGGGGGACGTTATTGATGTCCTCAGTGTCCATGAATGTAGAGTTCTGCCCACAAAGGAAACTCTCAAGAGGTTGATTGGCGAGATAGCACACAAGGAGATGGTTCAGCAGCCAATGTATGTAAAAGGAGCATGGTTCGATAAATTGACTTTGTTGGGGTTCAGTCTTGGAGAAACATCTCTTGATTCACTGTATGACTCCCTCAGGCCAAACAATCGGAAAGTGATGAAGATGCTTTCATTTCTAGACGACATGTTCTTGCAACAGAAAAGTACATCGGAGTTCCTCAGAAAATATGTCCGTGAACTGGAGAAAGATTATCTCTCCCGGTTTCTCAGGTTCTGCACTGGGGCCAACTTGTGTATCACAGATGGTTATGGTCACCCAAAGCCAATCTACATTCGTTCCACAACACTATCAGGTCTGGCAAGGAGGCCAGTTGCTCACACTTGTGGACAAGTACTTGAGCTACCTGGCCAATACGACAACTTCCTTGACTCCAGGAAGGAGTTCAACACGATCCTCGAGAGCGGTGTGTGGGTGATGGATTTTGTTTAGGAATCATTTGTTATAACAAGTTTGACGTTTGGCGTGATATTTCCAAAATCACAGACTTCAATTTAGTTTGATACTTTCATAAGTATATTTGATTTTAGTTTACATTTCATGAGTTGATTCTGCTACAAATGATTAGCAAAACTCAAATATCGACGAGGACAATAAGAAACTCAAGTATTCCTAATTGAAGAAAAGTTTACAATGACGTTTATACTCATTTGTCAGGTTAATACAACAAAGTGGTTTTTTTATGACACCCTGTCATGTATTGCTGCCATTTGCATTAATTGTTTGATCTCATTGTTTTGATATCCATACAATGGTAAGTTACAATAAAAATAATGACCTGTTCAAGCACTACTGTGATTATATTTTGTGTATTTTTTCTGTGGTGTTTGATTTATTATGATGGTTGGTACATCTTATCATATCCAATTCCTTGACAAAACCCATGATCTTTGAATACAATGTTCACATTTCCACAACATATATTGAACTTAAATGCAAATTGAACTCCTATTTGGATTAGGTATGGTGTTCAAAATGTTGTTGCGTAATAATCTCTGAGTCAGTTGTTGATAAGCATGGAATGGTTTGGATTGGAAGGACTTTTCCCAGAGTATCCAATTGGCGGTGTTCCTGGAAGCAAACCTGGATATTCTCCCAAGAGGTTGGGAGGTAGCAGGTACGAAACCTAAGACACCAAGAACAATGGGAACTTGATCAACTTGCTACTTAGGCTGCAAACATTAGGTTATGCAAGCGAGGCCGCCATATTTGCCATGTTTCTCCTGAATTTCGTCAAATACATTACTGTCAAAAGGGACAGAAAATTCAATGATATAAATATATTCATTGGCCTTATCAAAAAGTTCAAGATTAAGTTTGTTAGATGGAATTCTTCTGAGGCTGTACATGAGCCTATTCCAAGTTTAAAAGCATCATTTTCCATGACACCCTGGACATGTTGAGGGTCGTACCATGGATGCACCTCGGAGTCAAAGCCACAGGCCTGGCGGAGACGGTGGGAGCAGCAACTAGCCATACCATCATGTCGTTTAAGGTATGCTGTTTGTGCCAAAGAAGGGCATCCTCTCACAAGGTGTTGGACAGTCTCTGTGAATTGATTGCAAAGTCTACATTACATGTTAATATTTTCTTTAAGAATCACATTTTGGCGTTTGCAAATGGGAAGTGACTGAGCAGCAAAAAGAAAGCCCCCAGTTTCACATTAAGACCAGGCGAAGGAGTCCTGGCAAAGGAGTCCGCTGGATTGCTGTTCTGTTCCCCACACTGCATGTACACACGATGTGATGGTTTCTCAGAAAGCTTCTCCACGAATAACCGACTCTGGACAGACTTGGTGAAGGACTTCACCTGGGTTACTACCATCACTGTACCGACCAACAATAGATCGCCATCAACAATATCAACCTCAAATTTCAGATTCTGTCCAGCAACCTTGGCACGCTTAACATGGCTGTGGAATTCCTTGTTTCATCATTGACATACATCACCAAAGGACCATCTGACATATATAAGTACACACAAAATTCTACCATGAAAAGCCTCCACTTAATCAAACCCCGACCTTTCGAATTAATTTGCATTATATAAACGACTGAGAGTGGAACGAGGGTAGTGGTCTCTGTTATCAGACATGATCTTCTGGTCAGGCGGTCAAGACTCTGGATGTCTTGTTTTATTTAATCAACTACTCCAAAGGAATAGGAAAGGACTGGCACAGCAAAAGTATTGGTGACTATGACCGTGTCTCAAGCATTTAGCTCTGAGCTCCAGATTTCTTTAAGCGAGTTTATTACTCGGCCCGAAGTGTGTCTTGAAACTGGGCATTCTGAAGCTTGTTTCGAACTTGCATTCCAAGATAGATGTAGGCCTGATCTTCCGCAAGATGCTCAATAACTCCTCCCCCTTGTAACTTGACCAATCCATCATTAATTACCCTGACTCTTCAAATGAAGAGTATTACATTTGTCGAGTCCAAATGTCATGTCAGTATCATTAGAAAAGAACTTCACAAGGAGAACCTGCTCTTTCAAATTGTTTATTTTTATTATGTCACAGAGTTTGGGCATATTTTATCATTAAGTTCGTCGCTAACCTACTGATGCGGCGTTATAACAATCACTGTCAACAGAAAGGGACAAATATAAATTACTCAGATGTAAAAGAACAATATCTAGTTTGATCTTTCCTTTTACAGATCGGGGGAAATCGTCCTGTTATTATGATAATGATATTGTTCATTATCTCGGTCACTTAGAAGTTAATTCAGAAACAGTTCTTGTCGTATTTCTCTCCTGAGTGTTAAATACAGTTCACTTAATTTAGTCTTATCATCTGGAAACTGCAGCTGTTTTTCCTCCATGATCAGAGCACACAACTCAAACAGTATTGGGTCATTCGCATGTCACGTGTGGTGGCCACTTCCTCACACTGTAGCAGAACCTCTGGGTCGACAGTTTTGACGTGGTCTGCCTTGTCGTAAAATGTTGGTAACGAAGACAACACTGCTGGTTTACCATGCAGACCTGGTGGGGTTTTCTTGTTGGCTCTCATATGATGAAAATTCCATGTGTGTGCCAGACTTCTGAGTTCATCCTGAAACAGACAATTCTAATACTGAATGACATATTTTAACATACTGGTAAATATAATAATCTTTACACTGATTTACACATACATTACATGCATTATTCGGAGAGGATATAGGCACGCTTCTTTGAACTTGTAAAACATCGGTGGTGTTTGGTAATGACAATAACAACATCTACATACCTGTATACATCGCAGAAAAACAGAACTGTACAAGATTCTTGTCTATGAAATCGCCTGCAAAATAGCCGTCATCCGTAATCTGTTTGAAGAGATCCATCCAGAACTGTGCCCATTGCTTCCTGAGAATACACCACCACGACTCTATCCTTTGGTTTGTGTGACTGGAACCACAAAGGAAACTCTTGTTACCTGAGAATCTATCAGTATGTTGGCTTCGTAATAAACGCTGCATGTGTTCTACTGATGTGTTTTCTGTTCCCAGATCCGATCGAACTCGTTCAGGACATCCGTTTAGTCTTCTTACAGCTTCAGTATAGTAGCCAGTGATGACCTTAGGGTCATTATTTGTCACCCAAGCTTCAAGCCAAATAACATACCTTGAAAAGCCATCAATGCATCCGTGTATGCAGATACCGTAGGGTTTCAGTTTATCGTAACCATCCATGTGCCGTACAGAATTTGGTCCTGACGAGATATAGGTTCGATGTACTAATGCACGCTTTTTGCGACAGTTGACTCCATCAGTATCTATGATAGGAAGTAAACATCGAACGGTCTCTTTGTCTACAACATAGCCCTTTTCCTGACACATACGATGCATCCAACGGTATCCGTGTTGCCGACCAGAAGAGTCACACTCGTTCAAAATATACAAAACAACTTGCTGAATGTCTGTGCATTGTTTTCTCCGAAACAACTTACACTTGGATAGACATCGTTTTAAAGTTCTGTTGCTTATAATCATCTTGTGATCCTGGGCGAGGAAACACAGTATTTCGTTGTTCGTCAGTCCAAGGGAGAAGTATGTACAAATGAGTGTTATACAATCCATTTTGTCACCACAACCACCTGCCGTCACTTGTGTAATAAACTGACAGAACATGTACACAATATATATGCATTCCGAGAAAGCATAATATGTTGAAATTTCAAGTAAGTATCTTGAAATTTCAAGTTAGCATCTTGAAATTTCAAGTTAGCATCTTGAAATTTCAACTAAATAACTTGAAATTTCAAGATACTTTTCTTGAAATTTCAACTAAATATTTATCTTGAAATTTCATCTTAGCATCTTGAAATTTCAACTTAGCATCTTGAAATTTCAACTTAGTATCTTGAAATTTCAATAAAAAAATAAAAAAACGCATGGCCCTAAAAGGCTTCTGTACTAAAAGGCTTCCGTAGTTTTTCCAAAAGTGCGGAAAATTTCTTCTGCTGCCCGACTTAGTTTATGCGTTGAATCAATAAAGGATGATGATGTCTACATCGAGTGAAAATTTGGTCAATTTAACCCTTCTAGTTTTGGAGATATTGGGGCTCAAAGATTTTGACGTTTTGGGTATCTGCCCTTACCGGAAGCCGGAAGTCGAGATTGTTTCAACCATGCATCAATTTCAGCCTACAGGCTATCATCCCTGTAAGTTTCATCGAAATCGACCCAGGGGTTAGTTCAGGAGAGCTGGGACAAAAAACGTACAAATAATAATATAAATAATATTCGGATAAAAACAGTAGGTCTTCCAGGCTTTCGTCTGAAGACCTAATAATCCCGATAGCATTTCTTTCCAAAACGTCATCTTTGTGTGATTGTAAACAGCTTCAGCGAGAAGCGTTTGAAGAAATATTCGCCAAAACGTCAGCAAGAAAACACACAAAGCACGATGCAGGTGCAAGTAAGTGGAAAAGCATGTGATATCGATCACTTGAAAAAGGCAAACGTTCTGTTTAATTGTGTCAGCCGTTTTTACCTGGAAAAGAGGAAATCATCATGCCACGACTGAGTGCCGCCAATCGAGACATCGCCATAGGCCGCCTTGAAACTGGGGAGTCTGCAGGTGCCCGGCATTTCAACGTTCATCAGAGCACCATATTTCGCCTTTGGGATCGTTTCCTTGGGCGATACATTATTATGGCTGGATGAAGGGAAGTAACTCTGAGCATGTTTCCCGCATGAGGAGTTAATCGCTTTGGTTTCGTATTTGCTGTTTTGGATCCACTTGTGCCAACACGATAACTTTGAACTAACCGAACGAAGTAACACCTGTAAAAGTTTATATATCGGGAAGTATTTTGTAGCATCATTATTTCCATCCATATACAGTACACCCAGAAATAATTGAGAATTTAAGATTGTAATTGGGCAATGGGCAGCAATGCAGGCTTCAATGCGGCGGGGCATACTACTGATATAAGAAATTAGAAAGTCGTGGTCCATGCTGTCCCAATATCGGACCACCTCTTCTTTCATTTCAGCAATATTTGTCAGATATTTTTGATTGACACTTTCCTTCATAAGTCCCCAAACATTTCTATTCGATTTAGGTCAGGGCTATAGCTTGGCCAATCTAATAATGTCATATTTTGGGTCGGAAACCAGGCCTGTGAATGCTTTGAACGATGTTTTGGATCGTTGTCTTGTTGGAAAATCCCAAAATTTCCATAGAACACGTGAGCAGATGGAAGTAAATGTCCCTCTAGAATATCTGTGTACCGCTCACTGTTCATATTCCCTTCAAATACACAGAGGGCGTTGCCCCTAACACAGATATGCCACCCCACACGTTAAATTTCGGACTGTACTTTGGGCGCTGATACAAAGGCTTTACAGTTTGTTTGGTCCAGAATTTCAGTGTATTAGGAAACAGCCACACAGAACTTTCATCTGAGAATATCACATTGTCCCAGTTAAAATTTCTATGCTGTAAGCACCAGTTCAACCTTCGCTCCTTTTGTTCAAGTTTCATGATCGGTGAGGGATTCCTCGACTTTTCTGCCAACCCATTGCATGCAGCTCAGTTTTAATGGTCTCCTTACAGACAGCCACAGTTCCTCTATCAATCATATCCAGCCTTAAGTTTTCTAAACTCCTGTTTTTAGAAACAAGAATACCAAGCCGCCTCCTGTCACCGACAGTCAATTTTCTGGGCCTACCTGCGCCTCCCTGGTGCTCAATGCCATATCCATTTGCAACGTTTTTCAAAACACGATAAACAGTGGACAAAGGGATGCCTGTTCTACTTGAAATCACTTTAGCTGATCTGATGGTCTTGTTATAATACTCTAAAATCAACTTCCTCTTCTCTAAATCATCCATACTGGGGATCACTGAAAATGTCGTCTGCTAGCAAGTAAACAAAGGGGATAACTCTTCACAAACTAATGAAAAAGGATTAACGGAGTTGTCTCTCTTGAATGAAACCAAGCACTTGATAGCTGGTCAAGGTTGTTTATACTAGAAATCCAAATAAACATATTCCTAACATTCTCAATAATTTCTGGTCATATATATATTGTTGAACCACGTGCATACAGTGGCAATAATGTCATCGAAAATGTGGGCCCACTTCAGCACCTGTTACAGGAGCCAAAAATAAGTGGGCCCACATTTTAGAAACTCATCATTTTATTTGTATTTTCTTTTATCATAAATAGTATTCTGAATAACTAGTGTCATTGAAAATTTGGGCCCATGTATTATGGTCCAGTGTAACAAAGAACAGAAAGTGGGCCCACATTTTAGAAACTTGCTTTTCTTATCATGGTATTCTGTAAATGCCCTTTTGTTTTTATAATTTAACACAAACTGCATAAAATTCAACTAAAACAGCTTTAATTTCCCCACAATGACCAAGAATGTATTTGCACTTGTTTAATTCCTTAGACACGTAATCAGGTTGATTTTATTAAGTGTATCCATATGCAGGCCTTTCGCTTAAATCATGCTGAGGGAAATGAAACTATAATCTTCAATGTAATCACTGTTTTCTTGAGATGGCAGTCCACAAATTTTGCAAAATATTTCTTTTAGACACACAATAGGATAACTTCGTTTGAGCCAGAATTCTTTAGGACTCTATAATAAACGTTTTTCACAAGATTTCGTCACGGAACACTCCCGGAATTCTTCCATTTCCCATTATTTTCAACTTCAAATCGGGTGGTTTCGTAGTAAATATCTACGGGAACAGTAGCTATGCAAATTAGACTTACCTTTGACCTGACCCACGAAGGTCGAGTATTTGGACCAATAGAACGTCGCTCACAGCTTCTCCAGTGACACGATGTGGGCTTGTCTCATTAATATTCATGAGGTCCGAATCTGACAGTTTCGCGGGGTTTCAACCTTGACTTTTGATTGTGTTTTCATCTTTAAACATTTCCATCACTCGTTTATTTCAAGAAATACATTACGTTTTGAATTTATTTTCCCGTGCTTGGATTCGAACCACGGACCTTCTAATCCGAAGTCGGACGCCTTGTCCACATGACCAAAGAGGTTAGCCCCGTCAGCAAGCTGACAAGGTAAGGATGTCATCTGTGGGATGACTCCACGCCCTGCTACATAAGCAATACCTGATTATACTTGTTTAAAAATACATAGTTGCTATATACTTCCTTGTATCGGAAAACTCACTTTCTTCATATTCCATTTTTATATCGGGAGGGATTACATTGAGTCTGTAATAATATATAATAGAGATGGATTTATGTGCAATTTTATTTACACTTCGTTAATCTATCTCTTATTCTGAACTCATAAATATAGTGCATTATGATTTAAGAATGTCTTAAATATAGAAAAAGAAAATCTTGACTTTCCCAGAAAAAAATCCGTTTGGTGTAAAGGAACAAATAGGTGTGGAAATATATTGAATGGGTCACTGAAATTCAGTGATGACACCATCGGACCAAACATTATCTTGCAGTTGACTCCAAACATGCTACTGAGCTTATGATACATCTCGTAAACATCAGTGTAACATTTGTGAACACGCTGTCAACTGTTCCTTGCGAAGTGGAAATAAAACAGTCTGCCGGTTGTTCTGGCGGTTTGGTTACAGATTGGAATTTAAATCGCGCACAATGTATGCGTACCTGTTTATTGGACGAATTTGTTAACTACAGTTACTGGACTTTATTTGAAAAAAGATAGGTGGTGAGTGATGGCAAAGATGTATTTCACAAAAATTATATTTCAAATTGTTACAACAGAAAAGTCGGTGTAAATTAAGTATAGAAATGCCAAGTCAACATTGATGAAAACTTTTCTGTCTCTTTGAGTTGGGTAACACGTTCGCTTTCGTAGATTTAGTATCCAAGGCTCGGCACTGTGAACATTATTTCAACTCGGCCATATTTCCCGTAATCACTCGTACCTCGTTGGTTATTCTCTAAGTCTAGCACCTCATCACGAGATGTTATCAACCAGACATCGATGTCATAAGCAAATGTCAACAAACCTAGATCGACAACCAAACATAGTTAGTTGAAAATTATGTCACATCGACAGTAGTATTTCGCCCATAACCCGATATGTATTAACATTTTTCATGCCAATGTTCCTATGTGGGAACATGTCACAAAATGCTTTGTAACTTTTTATGCGTGAAGTTAAATTAATGTTTTTGGTCCATATTGATCTTAAAGGTCACATGCAACCAAAAAATCAAACATAATTAAAACACAATTATCACTTAGTCATGACATATAATATACATCGCCGGTTACGAAAAAATATATAAACAAAATTATAAGCGTACAATCGCAAATCGAAAGTGCAAAATTGTGTACTTCGGTTTACTTCCCAAGAAACGAAGCAGCCGGGATACCGAACCCAGTCAGAGCGGGTGGGTGTGCACTCAAGTGTAACGGCTGGTTCATTTGCAGATGCCTTCACGGCTAATTGTGTGTGTGTGTGTGTGTGTGTGTGTGTGTGTGTGTGTGTGTGTGTGTGTGTGTGTGTGTGTGTGTGTGTGTGATGTTGTGTTTTGTAAATACATGCTCATTTTTTTTGTATAACATTTTGCAGTCAACAGACATCATAACATGTCATGTGTTCAAGTATCACACCTGCCTGTCTGTGTAATTACATAATGTGACAGAGACCGAACTCGGGCCATAAATCAATGCATTTTGTTTATGGTGTCTAGCCTGATTGGTGTTAAGTTCAAATTGCATGTGGTCAGCGATAGCAGCTGTATATTGAATA